ACAACATAAACAAGAAATGCGCCGTTATCTCTTTAATCACCAGGCAAGAAATTTCTCCTATCTTTATTATAATTCTGTTTCCTTGCAATGTCTTACTTGGATTTTCCTATACTGTTTTATGTTCTTAGACACATAATATGTCCATCCAAAAATAGATGTGTACACACATCTTTATGTTTCAAAGATTTTCTTCTTCTACTTTCCAAATTGTTAAGTTAATTTTCACTATTGGCGGCATATGGTTTCAGAATGAGGACGGAGGTTGGGGTTTACATATTGAGGGCCCTAGCACCATGTTTGGGTCTGTGTTGAACTATGTTACTCTAAGGTTGCTTGGAGAAGGACCTAACGATGGAGATGGAGCTATGGAGAAAGGGCGAGACTGGATACTAAATCATGGTGGTGCTACCAATATCACATCTTGGGGGAAAATGTGGCTATCGGTACTGAAATCTTGACCTCTATCTGTCCTTTAAAGTTATCATATGAATATTTCTGTTATTTGACTCATCTTTTTGCTTGGATCTGCTAATACTGTGAATAAAGGTACTTGGAGCTTTTGAATGGTCTGGAAATAACCCACTGCCACCTGAGATATGGCTTCTTCCATATTTCCTGCCAATTCATCCAGGTGCTCATCAATATTTGTACAATGACAATTTCATGCGTTCTTGACTTTCTCAACTTAAATACTAAGTTTATTCTTTCTCCAGTCTCCAATTGTTGATCGACTTAACTATTCATTCAAATGAAGTGCCTCTTATTCTCAATTCTTGGTTCAGTCGCTATTAAATGATATGTAGAACGGAAAAACCAAAGTGCTCTAACCATGCCCGTATCTGTTTTGTCTCCTTTATGCTTCCTTAGGGTCAACTATTTATTTGGGATTGAAATATAGTTATACTGGTATGAGCTTCATAAGCAGTTCATTATCCCAGACTTTATGATATGGAATACCATCGATCATGGACAACTCAAGTGAAGTAAATCTCGAAAGAATTTGTAAATCTGATCATAGCTTGTAATCTATTATGCTTCATGCTTGTTCAAAGCACACTTATCGAATGTATTAACTTTTGCTACAACTTGCTTCGTAGTTCTCATGTATATAGATATAGTGCACAGTAAAGCATCAGAATAAGATTAATTTTCTCTTGCTCCAGGAAGGATGTGGTGCCATTGTCGGATGGTGTACTTGCCGATGTCGTATTTGTATGGAAAAAGGTTTGTGGGTCCCATAACGTCCACTGTTTTATCACTGAGAAAGGAGCTTTTCACTGTACCATATCATGAAGTCAACTGGAATGAAGCACGCAACCTTTGCGCAAAGGTTCGTGGAATGGATGGTGGATTTTGCAACTATGCTAACACAACCTTTGAACGAAGTTACTTGCTTTCTTAAAAGACATGAGCATTTGGCTGAATAACACAATTATTAAATGATTCTTAATAAATACAGTACTCAAAATATAGGTCCTTACACATACCGGTGTGTATAAAGATGCTCAGGGTAACTGTTTTTATGCTGAGAGTTGCTTTTCTATTGAAGGAGGATTTATACTACCCACACCCACTTGTGCAAGATATTCTTTGGGCATCACTTCATAAGATTGTTGAGCCTGTTCTGATGCGATGGCCTGGTGCAAATTTGAGAGAAAAGGCTATAAGAACCGCAATAGAACATATTCATTATGAAGATGAGAATACTAGGTACATCTGCATAGGTCCCGTGAACAAGGTATGCAAATCAAACTTCCACTACATCCTCTGTGCCATTGTCTTAACGGTTGTTATTATTCTCTTTCACAAGTTCAGTTTGAGGATATGTTTGGCTTTGCGTTTTCTTTCTGTTTTTGAATCCTCTAGTTTTTTATTGTTTTTGCTAACCAATCCTATACTTTAATCATCTTTGTTTTGTGCTGTTATAACAGGTATTAAATATGCTTTGCTGTTGGGTAGAGGACCCAAACTCAGAGGCTTTCAAGTTGCACCTACCAAGAATCCATGACTTTCTCTGGCTAGCTGAAGATGGAATGAAGATGCAGGTACCCCATATTTGTATATATGATTATGTTAGGTAGATTTTATGGACCAAGGTGACTGCCGAACCAGTACGAATATTGTCTCTGGAATCATTAGCTCAACAGTATACAAATATACACTTCAAAATTCGATAGTACTCAGAATGGCTTTACTACATTAACTTATTCAAAGTTGGGAGGTTTACCTAGTATGTGTGTGATAGAATCATTTTTAGATCATAAGAAAGAAACGAACAACCTTGATAAAGCTCTACCATGTTTCTTTCTCCTCCTGCCAACCAAAACCCGTACTTTACTTTCTATCCAATTACTAGTTATAAACATTGAACCTGTTGTCCATACTCTAATGCAGCAGCTATTGACAGGGTTATAACGGAAGTCAGCTATGGGATACAGGTTTTGCTATTCAAGCGATTTTGGCAACTAACCTTGTCGAAGAATATGGGCCCGTTTTGAAAAAAGCACATTCATTTGTCAAGAATTCTCAGGTTTGTGATAGGCAGTTAATGAAGATCAGCGCGTTGCTTTGGATGTTCTTTTCCCTCTCATGATTGTTTCTATTCATGGTATAGGTGTTAGAAGACTGTCCTGGAGATCTGAATTACTGGTACCGCCACATTTCTAAAGGGGCTTGGCCTTTCTCAACTGCAGATCACGGTTGGCCCATCTCCGACTGCACCGCAGAAGGACTGAAAGTAATAATAATGTGATAGAGTTACCTCTCAGGATTTCTTTTCTGGTGGTAACGAGTTTGGTATTTCCTCTTCAGGCTGCTCTTTTGTTATCCAAAGTTCCCAAAGAGATTGTTGGTGAACCAATAGATGCAAAACGGTTATATGATGCTGTTAATGTTATCATTTCATTACAGGTTAGATTTGGTTTCTAATACAGATTGGTCCTTTGATCAGTCATATGTCGTCTTTCTGCTCTGTTGACCTTTTGTTTTTGAAATGCATATTTCGAAACCAAAACAATTTCCTCGCTAATTAGCAAATAATTTCTGATTTCAGAATGCAGATGGAGGCCTCGCAACATATGAGCTCACCAGGTCATACCCTTGGTTGGAGGTATTGTCTCTGTGCCTAGATACAGATTTTATTTTCTCAAGCCTGATAACATCTACTTTTTGTATCTATGTGTCCCAACACATATTTGCCTTAGTCCCATTTGTTTGAGGTTTTAAGTGAAAGTTTACTCATTTCTGTTGGCAGCTAATCAACCCAGCAGAAACCTTTGGCGATATTGTTATAGATTATCCGTAAGGCACTAGCATCTTCCATTGAATCATCTGGTTAATCTTATTTTATGTTTTGTAAATTTCCCTTGATGCGCAAGAATGGTTCTGTAGTTACGTAGAATGTACATCAGCTGCTATCCAAGCTTTGATATCATTCCGAAAGCTGTATCCTGGTCATCGGAAGAAGGAAGTAGATGAGTGCATTGAGAAGGCGGTTAAGTTCATTGAATCTATTCAAGCAGCAGATGGCTCATGGTTAGTCTCTAGTCATTATAAATCTATTTGCAGAATTACATTTTTTCCTTATATTTTATCGTTGATTTTCTAGTTGGTTTATGTCTTGTAACCTGTGATATTTCCCTAGGTATGGATCATGGGCTGTTTGCTTCACATATGGTACGTGGTTTGGAGTGAAAGGGCTGGTAGCTGTTGGAAAGACATTGAAAAACTCTTCACATGTTGCCAAAGCTTGCGAATTTCTATTGTCTAAACAACAACCTTCGGGCGGATGGGGAGAAAGCTATCTTTCATGTCAAGACAAGGTTAATAATCACTTTCTATGTTCGCGAAACTCTACTTACTGCTACTTGATGAATTGTTTTTTTATTTTTTTTTATTTTATGATTAGGTATATTCAAACCTTGAAGGCAACAGGTCTCATGTCGTGAATACAGCATGGGCTATGCTCGCACTCATTGGTGCTGGGCAAGTGAGTAAATTCCTTGAGAAACTTTAAAATTGAGTTCATCGTGCTGCAAGGCACGGGGATTGCTCATTCTTTTTTCTCTCTCTCTCTCTCTCTCTCTCTCTCTCTCTCTCTTTCCATTTATACTTTTATCTCTTTGTGTGTGTTCTTTATTAGGCTGAGGTAGATCAAAAACCACTAGACCGGGCTGCAAGATACTTGATTAATGCTCAGATGGAGAATGGTGATTTTCCACAACAGGTAACAAGTTGTAACAACCACATCGGTGTTTGGAGTTTCTCTTGGTTAACAGATAGATTATTGACATTCAAAAAAAAAAAACAGATAGATTATTGATCTCTGGGCTCTCTATTTCAGGAAATAATGGGAGTCTTCAATAGGAACTGCATGATAACATATGCTGCGTATCGAAACATTTTTCCGATATGGGCATTGGGGGAGTACCGTTGCCAGGTATTATTGCAACAAGGAGAATGAATCAAGTGTTCAAAGTATTTATTTCTCTAGGGAAGGAACTGTGTTAGCTTCGATGCTTACTTTTCCTAAAGTTGTGTTATCCGTAACTCGGATCTGCTCTGATGCTTTCGTGAACCAATCTCTGTGTAATTTACTTAAACTCAAATCTTGGTTGCAGATTTTGTTGGGTTCTCTTGAATAGTTGAATACCGATTTTAGGATAATGTCTTTTTCTGAAAACAGACACATTCTTGTATTCGGCTTTCAATTCATGTTTCAGTTTCCCACTTTGCTCATAATATATTGGCTTTGACTGGTTGCTTTTTTTTAAGTAAACTTTTTTTTCCTGTAAAATAAGTTTCCGGATTCCTCTATATTTTCACCAATTATAAGTGAAAAAAAGAGTATCAGCTAGAAAAGTAGAGTACAAACAAAGCAATCTTTCCTTTTAAAGTAATATCTTCATAACGTAAATTAAGAAAAGAAATTTGCGTGTTTTCTTTGGTCTGTTTTATTGTTAAAACCAAACCAACAACGTCTACCCAAACACAATTTTAAACTTCCCGTACGTTAACACTAGCTATCTCCTAGAGAAAACTAACAAAATGAATTGAGCCGGAAAACACGGTAACATGAAAAGGAGATGTTAGTGTGCCTTTTTCATTGTTTTGTTTTCTCGCATGCATGCTTGACAATTTGAACAGAGATTATCATTCAAAAGTAGACAAGACCAGAGAAAAGAAAATGGTGGGAAGGTCGTTGGGGCCAGCCGAGGTGGTCGATGAGAGGGCTGAACGATACCAAGGGAAGGTCACCGGTTTTGTCATTGTTACTTGCTTTGTTGCAGCCATTGGTGGATGCATCTTTGGATATGACATTGGGGTCTCAGGTTCTGTACCATTCCCTCATTAAACTCAATTTGTAGACTAAATGATTTTATAAAACGGCTCGGGTTTTTTGTTTTATACAGGAGGTGTCACGTCGATGGATGAATTCCTTCGAGAGTTTTTCCACGATGTGTATGAGAAAAAGAGTCATGCTCATGAAAATAACTACTGCAAATTCAACAATCAAGGACTGGCGGCGTTTAACTCGTTACTGTACATGGCTGGTTTAGTTGCAACTCTGATGGCCTCACCAGTTACTAGGAACTATGGACGACTTTCAAGCATTATATGTGCTGGGATCTTTTATATGATTGGAGCTGCTGTAAACGCTGGATCTATGAACCTTCCGATGCTTTTTTTTGGACGGATCATGATCGGTTTCGGCGTTGGCTTTGAAAATCAGGTTTAATGAGAGGACAATGTTGTTAATGAGAAAACCAAATATCTCTATAATCTAATGATGCATCTTATCTTTATTTTTTAGGCAGTTCCTGTGTACTTATCAGAGGTGGCACCAGCCAACTTAAGAGGGGGTCTAAACAGTATGTTTCAGTTGGCAACAACTCTTGGGATATTTTCAGCCAACATGGTCAGTTATGCCACGCAAACTCTCAAGCCTTGGGGCTGGAGGCTCTCTCTTGGTTCTGCTGCTTTTCCGGCTCTTCTCATGACCCTTGGCGGTTATTTCCTTCCTGAGACTCCCACCAGCTTGATCGAAAGAGGATTAACAGTGAGAGGCCGGCAAGTCCTGGAGAAACTAAGAGGAACAAGAGACGTCAACACTGAGTTTCAAGACATGGTAGATGCAAGCGAGTTGTCAAATTCTATCAGACATCCTTTCAAGGAAATTCTACATAAACGCCACAGGCCTCAGCTTGTTATGGCGATTCTCTTGCCAACGTTTCAGATCCTAACTGGCGTAAACTGCATTCTCTTCTACGCGCCTGTTTTGTTTATTACTATGGGATTTGGAGGAAATGCTTTACTCTACTCATCAGTCCTTGTAGGAGCTGTCCTTGTTCTCTCAACTTTGATTTCCATTGCATTAGTTGACAGATTAGGACGACGAGCTTTGCTCATCAGTGGCGGATTACAAATGATCATTTGTCAGGTAAAAATGTTATCACATTTTTGCATCTTTGCAATCATCATATAGATACAAAACTTTTAGTTCAAGGCTAAAGATTTATGGTTTTTGAATTAGGTTCTTAACTATAACACATAATGCATTTCATGGTCTCATTGTTGTTTGGAAACAGGTCATAGTCTCAGTGATCTTGGGATTGAAATTTGGAGACAACAAAGAGCTATCAAAAGGATACTCAATCCTCTTGGTCATCTTTGTTTGCCTCTTTATTCTAGGCTATGGATGGTCATGGGGACCGCTCGGCTACACCATACCGAGCGAAATATTTCCCTTGGAGACCCGTTCTGCGGGGCAGAGTATCACCGTTGCGGTTAATCTCCTTATGTCCTTCATCATTGCCCAAACTTTCCTATATCTCCTATGTGCTCTCAAGTTTGGAATTTTCCTTCTCTTTGCTGCTTCGGTTTCCGTGATGACCATCTTTGTTTACTTCCTCTTACCTGAGACCAAAGGAGTGCCAATTGAAGAGATGACACTCATATGGAGGAAACATTGGTTTTGGAAGAAAATATTACCTACAAATCTTGAAGCTGAGAGCAGCCATGCACAATAGCCAGTAAGGAACACCATCAAATGTATAATTATTAAAAACCTTCAAATGCATTAGCGTTTCTGTTGCATTCTAGTGTGAATACAATATGCATTAGTGCTTCTATCACTATTTCAATAACCATTTTTCAATAAATTCACTACAAGAAATATCTACATTGATAGCATAAGAGGATAGCTCATTTTTCGTAACTGCTATGATAGATAACTTTTATTTTTGATTACGATATAATAGCACTAAAATCACGCTAAGTAAGAACATCACCAAATCAGAAGCTAAAATAACTTATTCCGCTAATATTTTGGTGAAAATTTCACTTAAGCGCCAAAAATAATTTCAGATCTAAAACTTTTAAGTGTCATGGTGTATAGCCAAAGCAAATAATAAACTTATTTTCTCTCAATGATAAAACATAAAAAAAAAAAACCCCAAATCGAAAACCTATGTCTCTTCAACTCCGACTCCACCACCGTAAAGCTCTTCGCCGACCTCATTTCATGTCCATTCCATCCTTATCCTTCATCCTCCAGCTTGGTTCACATGGTCGATTCCTCCGATACAGATAACACCAATCGGGACACGGATCTAGATCGAGATCGAGAGGCCACCAAGTTTGTTTCTGAATCGTCACGAGGTTTGTTTCATGGTGAGCTAGAGGTCTTCGCTTCTCAGGTATAGAGTTTCTGTTATTTCCTTTCTTGAATCTGTTGTTTTGCGGTTTTGATTCTCAGAATTTCATGAATTCGTGTGAAATATTCTTCCAAATCTGTATCTTGAATTATCGTCATGGTGTTGTAGTACTGAAGTAGAATTATTTTTTGTATCTTCTTAAAGCTTCTCAGACATGTACAAATATTGAATTGGGCTGAATTTTGCAGTGTTTGGGAATAATGTTCCTGGAGAGAAGAAGTATGGTGGTTTCTTTTTCTTTTTCTTCTCTTGCTTCTTCTCTGGCCACAAACTACTCTTTCATGGTAAGATTTGTGAACTAAGAAAATGTCTTTGTCTATTTGTTTTTCTCAGTTATGCAGATTAATTAATCAATCTCTTCTTGGTGTAGGTTCTGAATTCTTACCTCTTGATATTGAGAAAAATCGTAAGCTTACTTTGTCTTAGTTTTGGTATATGTGTAAAAAGGCTACTGCCATGGCTATTAACCGGATTTTGAATCAAACACAGCTTACATGAAAAATCATATGTTGGTTTCATCGGAAATGAGGATTGTTGTTGTTTTGCCTTTGTTATAGGGTGAATGAATCTTTTGACGCTAGAGAAATGGAGTATGTGCGGTTAGTATCCTCTGTTTGTTGGATATATATGGTGAGATCACATTTGTTTTGAACTTGTATTCTTTTGGTAAGTTGTGAAGAAGAGAGAGAGATGGAACCTTAGGAGTCTCTAGAAGTGACGCAGTCAAGGCTCTCTCCTACTCCGTTTCTTACTTTGCCTCAGTCAGGTTCGTCGAATTCTTTCTCGTAGCTTTCAACTTGTTTATCTTTTAAGAGAATAAGTTTTCGTTGCCTCAGTCAGGTTTGGTTTTATCTCTTAACTTCAGATGGTCCATTGAGCTATAAGTTTTCGTTGCGTCAGTCAGGTTTGGTTTGATTGTACACCCTTAGATCTATTGGATTATATCAATTTCTATCACTCTTTGTCGCTTTAGATCTTATCCCCAAATTCTTCTTCTTCTTAAAAGCTTTTGGGTTAGATTTTGTTAGGTTTTGATTGATTTGGGTTGGATTTATTTCTTAGAAGCTTTTGACCGGAGTGGAGTGGTGTATGTTCTGATGAACCTTTTCATGCCCTTAAGGTGTTCGACGAATTGCCTCATTATTGGCTGGCTTGTTTCTTAATTGTTTTGTGTTGATTTTGGTTTTGTGGTGTTGCTCTTGAACCTTTCAGGTGCTTACGATTCTTGTCACTAACCTATAGAAGAGTAGAGTAGAGTTCTGGTTTATCTTTGATGGGGTTTTGTTTCTTACCGTAAGTGAAGATGTTTCCAACTAGATCTTACTTTTGCATCTTTGGGATGGGTGTTTTTCCCCAGTCTAGAAATAAGTAATTTTCTGCTTAAGTTTTTGTTGGATTTCTTATCTCTTTTCCTTAATTTATGAAAGGTTGTGACTTTAGCAGTTTGATTAAACATATCTAAATGGGTATTGATTTGTTGATAGTTTAGAGAAAAGTCTTTGACTTTTAGCAGTTTCATTGAACAAGTCTATATGTAACTGAGTTTTATTACAATTCATGATTGGATTTCTTATTTTGTTGAAAGAAAGTAATGAGTTTTAAACTTAATTTGGTGCTTGTAGCTCTTCTGTGAAGAAATACTCATTGGATGCTCCTCTACGTCAACCTCTTTTAAGTTATCTCTCCTCAAGCACAAAGCTTTTACTCTAGAGGTTGGTTTGTGATTCATGTATTTTTGTGAGGCTTCTATGAATAGATTTCTGAGGTCATGGAGTTTAGATGTTTCATATTTGTTATGAGGAGTGCACTTATAGTTGTCTCTGCATTCAGATAATTGTGTTCACCAAAAACCCCAATCGAAGGGTACTTGTCTCTATTCAATGATTTCTTATATTTGATTCGTTGGATATTGAGATGTCTTATAGATAACTTGACTGCTTATTACCTTATTCATGGCTGCAGGAAGATGAAAATTAAGAATTTGCAAAGTCTACGGTTATCAAGAGCTTTGTAAGGAACTACTCTCGGAACAACTGTGCACTTGAGTTCGTGAACGTTTATGAGCCAACCATTTGGATGTATCTAGGAAAGCTACGATTTTTCTACCACAGTCGGCTTTGAAATCTATATTTTCTGTTATTAGTAATGTAAGTTAGTATAAGAATTGGTATAATATTATGTATTACTTGTTTTGGGTAATGTAATATTGTTATTGTTTATGTTGATGATTTATGGAATATAAATTTATTGATAAATCTAATTTAATAAATTCTGTAAAATATAAAATAGAAAAATTATATAAATCGAAACCCTGTTCTAAAAATCCCCGCCTAGCCCCGATTACTCCCCGCTTAATCGCTAGGCCCACCCTATCTGCCTCGATTAATGACTAATCCCCTAAAAAATCAGTAACCCGATTATTCTCCGCCTAATCCGATTACTTTCCGCCTAATCTTATATACCCCGATTATTTTTTAGATTGAAAGTATAAAATTTTTTTTATTTTTGTTATTCAATCATTTGAACGGAGAGTTTGTGATGTTTTACAATAACTTGTGTTCAAATTTTAATAAAAATCATAAATTTGTAATAAAAATCATAAATTTTTACAATATTGGATTAATATATTTTAAAAATATTAAAATAACCCTAAAACTAATCCCCGATTAATCCCCGATTTTAATCCGATTTTCCGATTAATCGCTAGGCCTATACCGAGCGCCCGACTAGCGCCTAGCGATTTTTCAAACAAGGAATCGAAATAGCAAAATAGCAAAATAAAAGTGTTATGACACAATATAACAAAACATCGATTAAAAATGTTATAAAACAATATAAAGCAGCACTAAATATATGCTACAAGAAAGTATTTTAAAACAATTGATTAGTGCTATAATAGAACGGCCTATAATAGCATACGGAAAAAATGCTATTGTATATGGGAGGTCTACCATAATAGGGGCATAACATAGCGTTTATGAAATCGCTATTAATGATATTTAATAGCTCTTCTCTCATGCTAACAATGTAGATATTTCTTGTAGTGATTTGAGCTTCACATATGAAATCGTCAAAAAGACAATAAATTATAAAGATGGGGCCGACTTTAATTACAAAGTTATACGTACAACTGTAGAAGTTTCAATGGAAAATGCACAAATGCTAGTTATTAATCTACTTAGGCAGAATCCAAAGCAAGAAACAAAGTTCTATACTAAGACCTGAAAGCAAAATTCTTTGTATTAATAATATTGGTGAAATAACCAAAAGCTGACTAATTCTCAACTAAATAAATGCTTATATAACATGTTTAAAAAAATATAAAACATATAAGCAAGGCCGTGCCTCAGTGGAGAAAAAATAAATATTTGCTTAGGATATCAAAATTTAGGAAAAAAATCTGGGGCATATATCTACTCTTTATAAAGTTCAAAAAATATTTCCTTGCATGTTTTCTAAATTTTTATGTTTTTCCACGAAATCCCATGGTCAAAGTTACTAGCTTGAGCATCAAAGAGTCTTTGAAAATAACACACTATAGTTCCAAGACACAAATTCTTCTCTTATTTGAAAAAGATTTGTCCTCCTCTAGCAGTTGAACAATTTTATCCCCAAACAAGAACCAGAATAAATAATTTGGGACTGTTCTATAACTATTATTAATATTTTTCTCTTACTAATTACATTAAAAAGTATTTATCAAATCTGTCTCACAAATAGGATAGTGTTGTGAACTGTGTCTTTCATTAATAGTATAAGGATATATATACAAGGATAATAGCAGGATACAGAGAATAAGGTAAAACCCTAATAGGCCATGAGCCGGTTATGGAGTCCATCCATATGGTTTATAACACTCCCCCTTGGAAGACATAACCGTGCCCGATACTAAACCGGGATCTCTATAATGCGCTGGGGAATGTTGCCTCATTAAAACCTTACCAGGAAAACCCAGTGGGACAAAACCATGGTGAAGGAAAAAGAGTACAACACGCATTACTCCCCCTAATTTGAGCATCACTGTAGATCCTTAAGTCCGCGCATCCCGATCTGATGAATGAGCTTCCGGAACGTTGAAGTCGGCAATGATTTGGTGAATAGGTCGGCTGAATTCTCACTTGACCGGATCTGTTGAACTTTGACCTGACCGTCCTTCTGTAATTCATGAGTGAAGATGAACTTAGGCAGAATATGCTTCGTTCGATCCCCTTTGATATAGCCATCCTTTAGTTGATCAATACAGGCTGCGTTGTCTTCAAATATGATGGTCTTTAATGTAGTAGCAGTTGCACCTTAAGGAAGGCTGCCTACGTACCCTTGGAAGGGATCAAGCCACACGTAGTACCTATTCATTGACCATGCCATAATCTGATCTTATGAATATCCTGCATTAGTAAATCAAACTAAACCAAAGCAAACTGGACCTTCTTTGGTTAGATCAGTATAGAATAAACCAAGTAAACAACACAGGAATAATAGACTTTAAAACTTAATCAAACCTTCCTTTAAACCTTTCCAGTGCCTTTGGGTTGATCATGAACTAAATTTAGACAGGAGACTCACGGCAAAACAAATGTTTGGTCTAGTGTGTCTAGCCAAATTCATTAGAACTCCTATGGCACTGAGGTATGGTATTTCCGGACTGAATGGATCACAATCCAATCTGAGGCTTCTCACCACCATTGGGTCTGGTCAATGGGCGGGCCTGGTCCTTATTAAATTTCCTTGAGTACTCTTTCAGTGTATGCCATTTGATGCACAAGGATTCCATTATTCACGTACTCAGGTTGTAATCCCAAACAGAACTTAATTATTGCGTAGGTCTTTCAACTGTTTGGTCGATTACCCAGAGGTTTAAATCATTCATATACACTGCTATGATTACAAATCCTTTGTTTGCAAACTTCTTGATAAAAATACATAGACTGATCGGATCGTTTTTATAGCCTTCTCTGATGAGATATTCGCTTAACCGGTTATACCACATACGTCCGCTTTGTTTCAGTCCATATAAGGATTTGTCCAGCCTTATGCAGTGCTGTTCTCGAGAATCTTTCTTATCTTTGAGCTCAATACCCTCTGGTAATCTCATATATTATCCAGTGGACTTATATAAATATGCAGGCATTACATCCATTAGCCGCAAATCTTTCTCTTTTATATAGCCAGACTTAGCAAAGATTTAAATATCTTAGCATCCACCACATGGGAGTATATCTCCTCTATTTCTGGTCTTTGTGTGAATCCTTGTGCGACAAGCCGTGTCTGATATATCACGCTTTCACTATGTTTATTTCACACTATCACAAAGACTCATTTGTCCCACTGGCTTTACATTGAATGGTGTCCTTTGTATTGGACCAAACACATTCTTCTTCTTAATGATTCTTAGCTCCACGTTTTATGGTCTTGTACCATTTTAATCAATCAGGTCTTTGAGTGCGATCTATTATAGACGTGGGCTCCTGATCCTCATTCATTTCAGTTGCTACCTTGTGCGCAAATATTTTATCATTGATGTCGACATCTTTTTGGTTCCATTGTATTCTAGACATGATATAGTATATAGAGATCTCTTTACACCTTCAGGACCTTGAGGTTTGGCGTCCCAAACCTCATTGATTGGTACCTTAGGGTTATGTCTATTAGCCGGCCATGTCTATGGTTTCTTGAACCTTCTCGGTTTCCCTTGCACCTTTCTTTGATTTCCGAGGGTTCTTGTCTTTGGAACCTTTTGGGTCTACCACGTTTCTTACGTGTTGTAGCCTCTGTAGCAACTTGATTGTGTTCTTTGTGAACATCAATACGTACTGGTGCATTACAAGCTGGTATGTACGATTTTGTTACTCTCTTTGGGTCATTATAGGAATCTTGGCAATTGTTTTAGCTAGCTTTTGCAGATATATAGTCTTTTGGATCTCTGATGGAGTCTGAGGATCTTGCCATGTGAAGGATGTTTGATTCCATGTAAGTTCTTTGACCAGCTTGTTAGTCTCTCCACCCAGTGTTGGGAAAACGGATTCATTGAGATGACAATCCTTGTATATGGCCTTTGGCTCGAGATACTTAATGATGGTGGGAGAATCATTTTTAACGTATATTCCCATCCCCTTTTGAGGTCCCATTATCTGCTCTCTGCGGTGGTGCAATGGGTACATAGACTGAACACCCAAATGTCTTAAGATGGGAAACGTCTGCTCATGACCCGTTAGCAATTGGGATGGGGAATATCTATGCTCACTAGAATGGCCTGATGCGTATAAGCTCTTGTTGCATGTAATATTGCGTGTCCCAGTCAGTTACTGTGAGTTCAATTATGGACATGTGCCACGGGGTATACTACTCTCCCCCTCATGGACATACTGTAGCCATAAAACGCTTGGGACATAATTTACCAGCATTATCTAGACATATAGTCTTAAGTATGTGGGCTCACAGACTTATGGTCTGGGCCAGCAATCTAGCAAACACCAAGTTTCTAGTTGCTTTGACTGGTGATGGCCTTAGTATGAGTTTCCCTTGTGTACATGCTATACACGTGAGGTCCTTAAGGGGTGTGCCCTTTTGATTTTAATATCAGCTTTACGAATCATGTTAGGAGGCTGACCAAGCCGGTCATGCCATTAGTGAATCTCTTAGTAAACCCTTTTGTTTACTATATTAGCCTTTATCATATTGACCTTGGCATAGTAAAGGTCTATGACGCGGGTATAGTCTCTAAGACCTTCTCATGGTCTTGGGTGCTCTTAGTAATATATGGGAATCCTTTGTTCCCTTCACCTTTAGTTTCAATGTGGAAACCATTCAAACACATTTCTTTGAAACTCAACAAGCCCCTTTGAGCTAGGTGAATATGAAGCATCTGAGGATGTGTGCCCTTGGGAATATGGGCCTGCCATGGGCCTGCCCTTAGCCTTCACTAAATTTAGCTATACCCGCAATTTGGCTAATGAACCATGTCTTTAGATATTTCGTTTATTGAATTCTCATAATGATGAACTAAATGAGCTTCTAGATTCTTTTTAAACTCTCTTGATAGAGATCAACGAGATGCTTAGGTGTCTTGCACGTCTTAGTCCAATGGTTTCCCCATTCCTCATCAGTGGCAAACAAGTTTATTTGAGTGTTGTGGTTTGGATATACCGTGGCTTCTACCTCGATTACGATCAAAGTCGGGTCGGCGGCCTTAACCATATGAATGGTTTCCTTGATCATATAAATTATAATTGCCACTTCTACCACGTTCATTCCATTTACCATGACTGTGGCCATGATACTTATCTCTTTGGACGTGGTTAGACTCTTTAGTCTCTTTAGGCTCTTTAGGCTCTTCAGCCCAATGGGCTTCTGATAATGGGGTAGGACCAGGAGGTCTCATTTCACTATTTATAACTCATTGTTTTGCTCAGCAAGTAGCAAAACAAGAGTTTAGACTTGCATATGTGGTAAAAACCTTTTTCACGATATTGTTGCTGAGGCAATATATTGTTTGTGTGAAAGGTCGAGAATGCTTTCTCTAGCAAGTCATTCTCAGTAACTTCCTCACCACGGAATCTCAGTATTGACACTATTTTAAATAGTACTGAGTTATACTCATTCATGGATTTGAATTCCTGGAATCTGAGATTCTTTCGATCGAATCAGGCTTTTGGGTAATAGCACCGTTCTTTGGTGGTTATATTGATTTTTTTTTTTTTTTTTTTTTCAACTCTGTCCTGAGGTCCATAGGATTCTTAATAGTGAGGTACTGATTTTGAGACTCTCATTGAGGTAATGGCGTATGTTAGTAATCGCCTTATATCTTTCTCTTCTGGTGACATTGTTTCCTTCCACAATAGATTCACCAAGCCCTTTTTCCTTTAGGACAATCTCAGTGTCCAAAGCCCATTGTAAATAATTGTCACCAGAGGCATTGAGTGTCGTGTATTCATAATAGTTGATTTCTGACATCTATAATATCTAGAGTTAAATGAGAACTCATGTAATCAGTTAGACCAAGTCATGCGGTATTTAAGACCGAGCCATGCTTGTCTTTAGCAAGTATTTTTCTAAACAATCATGTTATATATATATGGATGAAATCAACCCTAGAAGATTGATCTAGTATGCAACAACCAAACAATCGGATCATACTAGATTAGGATATTAGGATTTCGCGGTTAAGTTTTAGGGTTTTAGCATCCGCGATTTATAGTACTAGGGTTTTTTCAAGGGTTTCGGTTTTACTTTCGGTTTAACCTAGGGTTTATATTAAAACATTCAATCTATCATGCTAAATTCGTGCAGAAATACAAACAAAATTGATAACATATAATCCGTGCAAAATTTGTGCAAAACTACAGACAGAATAGATAACAGATCATCTGTGCAAAGTTCGTGCAGAAATACAGACATGATTGATAACAGATAATCCGTGCAAAATTCGTGCAGAAACAAATATGAACAGAAAACTTATCTCGATAGAGTTTAGAATTTTGTTTGCAGAGACGGCTAGGGTTTTGGTTTTGGTTTTTGTGAGAGAGATTTAGGGTTTCGGAATTTTTAATTTTTAGGGTGAAAGGCTATCGTGCTGATAACATGTTGTGAACTGTGTCTTTCATTAATAGTATAAAGGATATATATACAAGGATAATAGCAGGATACAGAGAATAAGGTAAAACCCTAATGGACCATGGGCCAGTTATGGAGTCCATCCATATGGTTTATAACAGATAGCATATTGTTTTTTCAAAAATGCATTTTTTTTCGTATAATTTCTTGAAGAGTAATTGCATGATACACTTAAGTAATTAAAAGATTTGGACAATGGCATAATCGTTAATTTGAGAGATTCCAAAAACATAGAATGTTAACAGTCAATGGGGCCGATTGGTAGCGACTGTTATTTTCCGCTGTAGAGACTTTCGCTGTAAGGACTTTGGCTGTAGAAACTTTGACTGCAGAGACTTTAACTTTTAAAATGTGATTGCTAACAACAAAACTGTAGAAACTATGGCTGTAAAAATTATGATTTTAAATAAAATAAATTTCAGTGAATATAAACCCAAATTGTGATATAACAACAAAATTCATACAAAGAACTTTATGAAAAGTTTTAATACATTCATATTTCTCTACTTTTGTATCAAAGGTAATATATAATGTCTTTTTTATATACATAAATGGATCTTAAAAGAACAGAAAAAAATTAATTGTAAATTAGTTAATATTTTTTTAAGATTAATTTTCCAATGAATTTTATTAGACTTTTCATATAATGGGAAAAAGAAAATAAGAAAAATAATTAATTTTTATTCTTTTCACTTTTAAAGTCAGGTTTACGTGGCTTAGAAAAAAACTGAATTCAAAGAGTAGAGAAAAAAGGACTTTGAAGGCTTTAAAATTATTTAAAGTCAAAAAATTTTGATTGGCAAAATAAAAACTTTAAAAGCCTTAAAACTTTTCTAAAGCCTTAGAAGTGCTTACTAATCACCCCCAATGTAATTTTGGTCACTCTTCAAAGTGAAAGAGAATTGCTCATAAGAACAACACTAGACCACAAGTTTCTTAGACAGTTTTCATTCATAACTTTCTTCTTGAAACATGGAAGTAAGAAAGTAGTAAGTGGAGACACGACTTCTCCTATTAATAAGTAATAATTAAAAATGTTACTTCCTCTGTTTCACAAAGCGTGTCATTTTAGAGTTTTATTTTTGTTTCACTAAGAATATCATTCTATATTTTCAATGTGACTTTTACACTAGGTTTCCTGATTTACCCTTAACCCAAAGTTATTTTATTGAATTTAAATCATTAATTACTTATTAAATAGGGAATATATGTATAATCTAAGGTTTTCTTAATTTGTGTGAAATGTGTCAAAATAACACTCTTTGTGAAACGGAGAGAGTAATTGACAATAAAATTGTCAACTAAACGATCCTATCATAGAAAATGACACAATTCCTTGTTAAAAATGAGAATGTAATTTTTGATTAAAAACAAACTCTTGCTAATATATGATTTGATCTCTTTGCACATGGTCTCTCCTTCAATGTTATCTCTCTTTTCTCCACTATATATAGACTTGAAGAAAAGTCACAATGGCAATGCCTTTAGTTTCAGTATTCCGGAAACATATATGATATGTTACTCCCACTGTTTCACAAAGAGTGTCCTTTTAGAGTTTTATTTTTGTTTCACAAAGAATATCATTCTATATTTTCAATGTGACTTTTACACTAAGTTTTCTGATTTACCCTTAAACTAAAGTTATTTTTATTGAATTTAAATCATTAATTACTTATTAAATAGGGGCATATATGTATAATCTAAGGTTTTCTTAATTTGTGTGAAATATGTCAAAATAACACTCTTTGTGAAACGGAGGGAGTAATTGACAATAAAATAAAATTGTCAACTAAACGATCCTATCATAGAAAATGACACAATTCCTTGTTAAAAATGAGAATGTAATTATTGATTAAAAACAAACTCTTGCTAATATATGATTTGATCTCTTTGTGCATGGTCTCTCCTTCAATGTTATATCTCTTTTCTCCACTATATATAGATTTGAAGAAAAGTCACGATGGCAATGCTTTTAGTTTCGGTATTCCGGAAACATATATGATATGGTCACGGCTCATGGGCTCACGTTATAGAGCGATGACCAGGAAGCCGTCGAGCTTCTAAGAGCATCTCCAATGGAGGGAGATGGAAGTTCTCTTATGGAGTTCTCAGATGAAATCTGATAAAAAATAAATCAAAAATGGCTAATTAAGAGAGAATCGTTTCTTTGCAGAGAGTTTTAGGAATCCATGAGAGCCGATGACGTGTCGCTATCGGTTGGTTGAAGGGTTTTACGAAAGGAAAAAAAGAATGCCCCCGTGTTTTTCTCTCTTCATCGACTCCCTCTCTTTCTCTCCGATGGCGACGTTACGAAGCACTATTTCAATCTCCGATCAACGCCAAACGCAGACTTCCAATTTTGCCGGCGAAGATGCAGCAGAGGAAGCCGACGGCGAGTAGACCCAGTGGTACCCCATGGTCGTTGACTCTCGTGAGTTTCCAAAATCCTAACTCTCCTCTGTCTCCTTTTAGCATAAATTTTTCAGGTTTTTGCTTGCAGGTGGTGATTTATTTTAATTGGACTATTGTGTGCGTTTCTGACTGCGTCCTGGGGAGACCATAACCTGAAAATTCATTTGATCTGCAGTAGAACATAATGTTTTAAGTATGGCTTCACTTTCGAATGCTCATGATTTTGTCTCTTCACATGTTTGCTTATCTTTATAATGAAGCTCGTCTGACACATTTAGGTGATAGTAGTGCCATCCTCTCATCAATAAAACAAGCAAAAATGATTTGTTGTTGAAGGGTTTTTAGCTTTGGGTAACACCATGTATGCTTTTTTATGGATTTTTGAAGTTGGAGAAGAAATGTTTAAACACTAACAATGATATTCTTCAACAATGATTGTTCATTGTTACGTTATCAGCTCAAAATGGATGTTGGCCGTGCTGCTTCAAGAAGCGATTTGTCGACAGTGCGGGACGCACTTGAAGTTTCTGCAGAAATGGTCAAGAAGGATGCCAATAATGTTTCAGACTATGTTCAGCGTCATCTCAACATTTTAGCTATAAATTGACATTGATTACCTCGCTTTAGTTATTTATTTCAAGCAGAATTACATGGACAAAACAAAATGTAAGGTGACAACAAAATATCTGGCCCAAAAAAGGCCCAGTGATCTCTGAAAACATGCGGTCATGTCAGGTAGAAAAAAAAAAAAGTTAGTTATTGCGGTCAAACTTTTTTTCCTCTTTTGTGTTTAAATTTCCAAATCTCAGTGTACCCCACACACAAAATTCGAAAAACCTCGCAACGAGCGCGAGATTCAAAAATCAAAATCAACAACACGCGAATCAAAGGAAATTGAATCACACGCGCCTCTCTCCTCGAACTCCGTCTCTTTCTCTGCTAAAAAAACACTTGGGGCTTCGCGAAACAAAGCAACTCTCTCTCTCTCTCTCTCTCTCTCTCGCTCTCTGCTTTTGAATCTCCGTTTTATTTCTCTCCACCACCTGAGAGAAAGCAGAGATTATCTTCATGGCTTCTCAATCATTTCGCTCACCATTATCCTCGTGATGCTTCAGAGTATGTTTCGCTACTCTCTCTTGACCTTATTTTTTCGTTGATTTCAGTTTTACTGCATTTTTCTGTGTTGTTCTCTGGAAATAGAGTAATGCGCGATGCAAAAATGGTTGAATCGTTGATTTAGAGTAGAGAAATCTCGAAATCGTTGTTGTGTTTTTTTGTTAGTAGCATCTTCTTCTTTCCAATTTGAGATTGCGCTGATCCTATTTCAGAGCAAATTTAGGAGATAGATTTGATCTGCTGAATCAGAGATTTGTTGAATTTGCTATTTCGATTCACCAAATCCTTCAGTTACATGTCTCAGACTCAATTCTAGTTCGTTCTTTCAGGTATTGTGTTTGAGGATTCAAGTAGCTTAAAACTAATGTGTGAATAGAAAAAGAGAGAGGAGGATTTATGAAGACCAACATGCAAGTAAAAGGAAGAGGAGGAAACATGAAGGCTAATACACAACAAGTGATTTTTGAGCTGAAGAAGAAGGTTGTTACTGCATTAAACAAGTTAGCAGATAGAGATACATATCAGAGAGGAGTTGATGAGCTTGAGAAAACTGTTGAGCATTTGGCACCGGATAAGATTTCGTGTTTTCTCTCTTGTATATTGGATACTGATTCGGAGCAGAAGAGTGCTGTTCGGAAAGAGTGTATTAGGTTGATGGGTACTTTAGCTAGGTTTCATGAGGGGCTTGTTGGTCCATATCTTGCTAAGATGGTTTCAAGTATCGTTAAGCGGCTCAAGGATCCAGATTCTGTTGTGAGAGATGCATGTATTGAGACAATGGGTGTTTTAGCTTCGAAGATGAGTTGCTATGAAGACCAGAACTATGGGGTGTTTGTTTCCTTGGTGAAACCGCTTTTTGAAGCCATTGGTGATCAGAATAAGTATGTGCAGTCAGGTGCTGCCTTATGCTTGGCCAGAGTCATTGATAGCAGTCCTGAAGCTCCAGTTGCGATTATACAACGCATGTTAATGCGGACAGTAAAGCTGCTCAATAACTCACATTTCATCGCAAAGCCAGCAGTTATTGAGCTTAATAGAAGTATCATCCTGGTAAGCTACTTTTAATACCCTATAATTCTTTTCTGTTTCTGAGTCTGAGCCTTTGCTGCTACTATTCTCATGTGGTTGTATAATGAAAAATGGGTAACTGACTCTAATCCAGGCTGGTGGGGCAACGCCGAAGGGTGTGTTGTCCTCAGCAATGTCTAGCTTTCAAGATGCCCTTAAAAATAAGGACTGGACTACTCGTAAGGCAGCTTCTGTAGCACTTATGGAAATAGCTGCTACTGGTGAAAAGTTTCTTGGACCTCTGAAGGCTTCCTGCATCTGCTCTCTTGAATCATGTCGCTTTGATAAAGTTCAAACTCTTTTTCTAAAATCCACTCTCTTAAGGATGATAATTTTTGGAGTGAAAGATCTAACTTTGTGCTTTTCTGTTTTAGGTGAAACCAGTGAGGGACTCAGTTATCCTTGCCTTGCAATATTGGAAAGGTGTCCCTGGGTGTGATAGTCCAGAGCCATCTGAAACTGGATCCTCTGTAAAAGGTGGGTTAAGAAAATGAATCTTTTGCATGTTTATATTTCTTTTTTGCATTTCATAAGACTCATAGATGCTCTTTCTGTTTATCTGTTTTGTAATCACAGAAAGTTATAATGGAGCTCGAGAGAGTAGTGAACTTTTCAGCACCAGTGACTCTAAAGTGAAGGATGCCACGTCTATCAAATATGTAACGGATTTGGCAAGGAAAAAGGTTCCGGTTTCTGCCAGGCAACCACCTACACGTTACAATGAGGACCCTCGAAAGTCTAAACAAGATAATTGGCATATTGACATTGCAGTCCCAGAATCTTCTATTGTCTCCAAGGTTGATCTTCACAATGAAGAATCTGAAGGCAGTTGCATCACCAAGACGTTTGCAGAAGCGACAACCACGCCAGGAGTGACATATGAGTACATTCCAATAGAGGATAAAGCAGATTGCTATGTAACAGGCGGAGTCAATGAAAATGATGATATCAAGTCTATTACAGTTTCATCAAGCAGTTTCAGGGCAAGTGGTATGGGGAATCCCGCCATAACGAGTAAGCATTTTCCAGGTGAAGAAACTGATTCGGAAGAGCAGCCATTCTCAACAAAAGTGAAGGATCGTACAAGCCTTGACTCTTCTGTAACAGTGTCAAGCTCTCAAATCAATCATGACTGCTGTGCTAAGATTGCAAATGAAATGGCTTCTGTACGTAAACAACTCTCAGATATTGAGGATAAACAGTCACGTTTGATAGATCAGCTACAGGTTAGTGGATTATCTGTCACAATCTAATGTCCTTTACTCAGTTTACAAATTTAAAGATGCTCTAGTCAACCTTTGTATCTTCAGGATGTGTGTTCTCAATAACTCAGCATGATTTTTGAACTGTCTTACACTATCCTATGCTTAGGAATGGCTAACTAATATATGTTTTTTTATCTTCTTCTGTTAAACTTGTAGGCCTTTTCAACAGGAATAATGAACAACTTTTCGGTTCTTCAATCTAAGGTGTCAAGCTTAGAATATGCAGTTGAGGGGATAGCTCAGAACGTTGTCTTGCATTCAGATATATCAAACTCCAATTTTGTGAAGCACAACCAAGGTAGTACCCTGTCACCAAGGCTCTCTAGTTGCACTTCAAGAACTTCTACAGATATCCGCAATCGGCAATCTACATTATCCACTTCCAAGTACTCAATGGCAAGGGAGAACAAAACACATATAAGAAGCAGACTAAATGAATCACATGGCATGGAGAAGACACGGAGTAATCCTTTAGGTAAGACTGGTCAACAACATACTAGAGAGGACATTTGGAACAACATTGGACAGGGAAGACAAACATTGATCCAGACCCGGACATCTTCTGATTCAATTCAAAGCATAAGACAACATTATGCGGAGGTGATGAGTGGATCAAGAAAACCGGTGACAGGTGTTTCTTGTGAAGAAGTGGTTGAATCAGAGTATCTAGATGTGCTTTCTTCTGGTGATGAGCTTGCGCTTGTTGAGCTTCTTGACAGAACTGGCCCTGTGCTGGAGAGTATGTCATCACAGACCATAAATGAAATTCTCAGTATTCTCCTGTCATACCTCCTCGAACGAAGATTCATGAATTCAATACTTCCTTGGTTGCATCAGGTAAAACTGTTGAAATCATACTTGAATTGATTGCTATTACTACTACTGTTGGAATAATGTTACTGAAAACTCTATTCTCTTCCACTAGGTCGCTGACTTGAGCACTACAAATGGAGCTAACTATCTTATTCCATCTGCGAGAAAGAGAGCTCAAGTGTTGTCTGCAATTCAGGAGGCTTCAGGCATGGACTTTTCAAATCTTGCTGAGAGGAGAGCAGTTACCCAGATAGCAATGAAGTTGCGCAAACTATGGGGTAAGCTAAGATCTCTACTTGCACTAGTACCTACTTGGTCTAAGGATCATGCAGAGAAAACTTGCTTATAAACAATGTACATTCATAGAAGCTATAATCTTTAAAGCGGTACACTATTAAATCTTCATATGATTAAAAGTTTTCCTTTTGTTTTTCTGCAGGAAAATGCTCTTGATCATTATGGTGTGCTGAAGTAGACAGATGTTTCTCCTTAGTTGAATTAAACTTGTTGAGAAATTCTACTCCTTCCTTTGTTTTCCACGTGTGTACCACATATGAAATCATTTGGATTATTCAAGTATGTTTCGAAAGTTTCATGTACACTCACTGAAGTTACTTGCCAACACAACTAACACAAATAAGCGTCTCCAAAATTCATTTGAATTTCGAAGAAACATCAAATTGCGTAATGCACTAATATTTGTAATCCAAAAAAAGAAGATCCCAAAACGAAGACTCAACTTATTTATACATTTAAGCCAACTCTGCTACTTTCTTATCTTACAGTCTCAAATCACTGGTGAATCTTTCTGTCTTGAGTCTTAAATTTTGGTAGTATCCGGTTCTGAAAGAGCAGAAACATATTTGTCGGTGTCAACTGAGGCTTCACTCTTGCTTCTACCACTTTCCGGTCTTCTCCTCCTCTGTCCATCCCCATCTCTTGTGCCTTGGGAATCACTAGATGCTTCATATAAGGTTACAGACTTGCCCCTGCTATGGAGATTAGTCATGACTTCCTCCTGAGCATCTCCGTCTTCCTTGAGAGTCTCAAGAACTTCTACAACATGATTCATGAGGGGCCTTCCTTTCGGGTTTTGACTTAGGCATTGGTATGCCAAACCAGCTACTTTCATCAACGCCTTAGTGCCGTACTGTCCATCCATTCGAGGGTCTATGATCCTCAAAAGCTTTTTGTTGTGATTCAATAGTGGTCGTGCCCACTCTACCAAGTTATGCTCCCTGCAAGGTCTGCTTTTGTCCATCGCCCTCTTCCCAAGGAGCATCTCAAGGAGAAGTACTCCAAATCCATACACATCACTTCTGGATGTCAAATGTCCTATTACGACAATCACATATACGACCCATTACAAAGCAGTTACATAATGTGATCGTCTCAACATGCATATATTTAAAAAGGGTCATTTTTAACACTGGTTGAAGAAACAGCTATGACTTTTAATAGGTTCTTGTGTCAGTTGACCACGCTGAATTCGAACTTATTTTACCAATTTTAGATGCCAGACAAATGCTAACGGAAAATACTAAAGACAGACCTGTCATTACATACTCAGGAGCAGCGTATCCGTAAGTCCCCATAACACGTGTTGACACATGTGTTTGATCTCCTCTTGGACCATCCTTTGCCAGTCCAAAGTCAGAGAGTTTAGCATTGTAACCCTGCAAAAGCATTACACCTTTCAGGGACAACATAGGCGAACAAATTGAAAAACTAGAAAACCAGGTTTCACTAACAATTCTATACCTTTGTAGACTATCTATTGAAGAACAAGAATTTGCAATAGCTGACCTCATCCAGCAATATATTTGCTGTCTTCAGATCCCGATATATGATGGAGCGTTCAGCACCATGAAGAAATGCAAGACCCTTGGCTGCATCTAGCGCAATCTTCATTCTTTTCGACCATGTCAAAGTGCATCCAACTCCTGTCAAGTGTTCCAAAAGAAGACACATTTCGTCACTACTCCATTTATAATATGGGAACATATAATCTGTATTATATCCATGCATATGCTTTACCAATTCCTCTTCCAGATATTTATAATGACTACGAAGTAAAATATCCCCTGAAGTTTGTAATTTTTGGTCAAAAACATTTAGCTTCCTGACTAACAACTTCTATCCTGATTGATTTCAGAGCACTAGCATGTGCTTGGTTTGAAAAGCATATTTCAACAATGGATTCAGTCAGATTTGAAAGATGCAGTTCATATGATCCTTTGTTCTGTCTACAAAAGATTAGCTTATAAAACTGGGATAACTATTACTCATTATGCTCCACCTTTGGGCAAGTATATGCAATGCAAGAATGGTATTAACTGTAAAAGCGTATGCCATGAGAAAAGCATTTTGCAATTATCAAAAGCAAGTACGTAGATTTAAGTTCCAATCTTCATGTTTAAGATGACGGGAAACTTACTTCGGAAAAGATGTTTCTCCAAGCTCCCCATTGCCATGTATTCATAGACTAATAACCTGTGATCATCTTCACAGCAGTAGCCTATGAGCTTGACCAAATTCGGGTGACTCAGCTGTCCTAAATAATTGACTTCAGCCTAGAAGAAATAAATATCAACAGTTTCAATAAAATCACACATTCTCAAGTACATACATCTCTAATTTGTGACCAGTCACAGCTTACCAGCCACTCTCTATCTCCCTGGAAGCCCTCTGGATTAAGTTCTTTGATAGCAACTTTTGTAGACTTGTAACCAGCCCTGACAGACTCATCTATAACTCCTTTATACACCACTCCGAAACCTCCCTCACCGAGAATATAATCCGGCCTGAACTGCTTAGTAGCAATCTTCATCTCTTGGTAAGTGAAAATATCAACATTTTCATAACCTGGATTAGACTGAAGATCTTTAATGTTTTTAGGAGCCAAAGGCAAGCCACCACCACCACCACTTGCACTCACTTTACCAACTGAATCTTGACAATCTGACTTCATTAGATACACAGCTGAATTTTTCCCTGCTGTCCCAACAAAACCAGTATAGTGAAAAAAAAAAACATATCATCAGATTGAGAATTCATAAACTTAATTCTGATCCGACTTGAAATTTCCAATAGAACATCACCAAAATCCCAATTTACCCAGAAACCAATATCATCAAACAACTTTTTTTGATCATTAGGAAACCCAAAACTGCCAGAATCGGAAGAACCCAGAAAAAAAGAAACAGAACCCTAAAAAGGGCAAAAATGAAGAGAGATCCAAATCCAAATTGAAACCTGGTGTTGTTTTCTTCTGGTAGTTTTGCTGTTGAGAAAATTGGTACTGATGATCTTCAGCGCTAAAGCAAATCCCCATTCGAATTCTTCGCGAAATCCGAAAAAACTCTCTCGCGTTATCTGCTATTCGATTCCCATCACATTGTCCGTTAAAAACGAAGACAGATCCACAAAGAAAAAAAAAGCTCCGATCTCCGACGAGACTCCGAGAAACTGGCTGATAAACTCGAAGGAGAAAATGGAGGAAGAGAGATGGGTTTCTCGGAGGAGGTCGGAGAGAGAGAGAAGAAGAAGAAGAAAAAAAGGTAAGAAGATAATTGTAGAGAGAGAGAGAGAATGAATGATCCGTTGGAATCGATGGATTTGAGACTAGCCGCCAAAAACGCAAGGCCAAGCGAAGCGACCTCACTTTTTTTTTTCCCTTCTTCAACGGTTAATACGTACGTTATGTTAAAAACATCCTTTCACTTTGATTTTAAATTTGCTTATATACGTTTTTTTTGTACATTTAAAATAGGTTAAGAGATTTTAAGTTTTCCCTTTAAAACTACACCTACTTCTTACCAAATTTTATTAAAAAAATATTTATTGAGTTTCCAAATCTAAGAGCATCCACAATGGTGAATGTGTTAGTATGGGTGTAAATAATTTTTTAGTATTATAATTAGAGAGAGAAAAGAGAGATAGAGAGATAGAGACAAGAAATTTTTTTCTCTTTTTATAATACCCACACCCGAATGCAACTCTACATGTGGATGTTGTTGAAAAGCTATTTTTTGCATTATTTTTCTATATTAAATTATATACACCCGACGCCTACATGCGCCACTGCGCTTGGTCTAAGCAGGCAAAAAATTTGGTCAATGGTCAATATTTTGAGTGTTTGTAAAGCATTAACTATTGATGTTGACTAATTTTTTTATTTTTTTTTGGAGAATTTGCAAACAAAGCATAGTTAAATTTTGTTTTTGTTTGTAACTGATTGGAAAACTATATAAATTTAAGTGTAATAAATAAAATAAAAAGAAAAATTAATTAAATGATTTTAATCTATGGTTTATATAATACTAGATTGATAATCCGTGCTGCGCTCATATCGATTATAACCGACGAAGCTTAAATCAATTTTTGATCCAATACTTATAGATTTTGAAATCAACTGTGTAACGCCCCGACCGACACACCTCTCTTAATGGGCCCCACATTCTCTCTCGGCCCGTGGGCCAACCCGTGTCCGACGGCCGGTCCGCTACGTCGGGGAGGTTTTAAAGACTTATTTACCGACCCTACAAATTACCACATGATCTTTCCCCGTGTTTTGTCCTCACTCACACAGTTCCGACAATCACTTCCCGGAAGGTCACCCATCCTGAAATTGCTCATGCTCAAGCACGCTTAATTGTAGAGTTCTGTCAGGACGTTTGACCGGAAAGATAAGTGCACTCTGGTGACATAGGTGGCCAAATCAATTCTTTTAAACCTCTCCGCTTGCACCACCACATTCCTGAAATCGGGGTGTTACAATTCACCTCCACTAACAGATCGCAACGTCCTCGTTGTTCACCAAGACCGTCAGCCCCTACGGTGTGAGCCCTCTTGACTCCACACTCGTCTGGGTTCGTCTCTGATACCACTTGTAACGCCCCGACCGCCACACCTCTCTTAATGGGCCCCACATCCTCTCTCGGCCTGTGGGCCCACCTCTGTCCGATGGCCGGTCCACTACGTCCGGGAGGCTTTAAAGACTTGTTTACCGACCCTACAAATCACCACATGATCTTTCCCTGTGTTTTGTCCTCACTCACACAGTTCCGACAATCACTTCCCGGAAGATCACCCATCCTGAAATTGCTCCAGCTCAACCACGCTTAACTGTGGAGTTCTCTCAGGACGTTTAGCCGAAAAGATAAGTGCACTTTGGTGACATAGGTGACCAAATCAAATCTTTTAAACCTCTCCGCATGCACCACCACATTCCTGAAACCGGGGTGTTACAAACCGTACCTAATTATTTCAGAGATCTTATATATGTATTAGTTCTACCAATAGGATCGAGGGCGAGTTTCTATATTCGTATGTTGTCAGCAATTTAAGAATAGTTTCGTGTCGACAACAAATTTCTTCACAAGAACATAAGGTACATAATCTGAATTCTTCTTTAGGTATGTTTTGGATGATATATCATACTATTAATAAACTTAATAAATCTACTTATCATCTAAAATCTGATGATGAAAGACAAAAGATTTCAAAATTGTAATCTTATATTTGTATGGTTAACATGAAGACATAATCTAGATTAAAATTTGGTTCCAACAGAAAAAGATTGATATA